GAGATAAGAGATAACTGTCTTCAACTTAGTTATAGAGGACGTCGAGTACTACAACTCTGCCGAAGATACCATGTAGTTATCTCTTATCAGTTGCGCGAAAACCGTGAAGATCGCAGAGGCTAGACGGTACTACAACATACTCTACTTTAACGTCAACAGAATCATCAGAAAACATACTCGCCGTTTCAAAAATATAAATCGAAGAAAAAACATACTCCACTCTCAATCTCACCCATAGAAATGTTATTGCTGTTGTTGCTGCTGCTGTTGTTGTTGTCGTATCAAGTGATAAGTTATCAGTGGCTGAAAAAAAATACTGGTATAAAATGTGTACGCTTAGAATTGAATCAGCTCATTTGAGTCAGCTTATAAACCGAGCACTGAACACTTTTCAGTGGTTTATGCGGGTCGTCGGTCGCTTCGACTGATAACATTTTTGAATATTTTATGTGGAACGCATTACTTTTTGACTTTATTTAATCTTTTTTTTATGTCGGAAATGTCAGAGTTGTGAATAAAATGTTGACTCAAAATTAGTGAATGTTCTAGAAACAACAATGATACTAATTATAGAATTGATTATTATTATTCTTCGTAAATTTCAGCATTTATTTCTTGCTCATTTTAAAATTATGCAATTTTTCTTATTTTCTGTGTATATTTTTCTAGAACAGCTGTTTATTTCCTGTGTGTATTTGCGTTGAATGTGTTGACCAATCACCTTTTAATCTGACTGATTTTTTGGGAGAATTTTTTTGCAAATAACTGATTACTTGTTTCTCTCTATATGGATTATAATACAATTGTGGTTTGGGAAGAACGGAATTGATATAAAATTTGATCGAATATGATAGCAGTGACTGTGATTTATTATCACGATTGATGAGTATTTTGCAAATGTAGAACATCACCTGATTTCATGATAATTCATCATTCAAGTACTTGAAGCCTTTTCTAGTCCTTTTACTGGAGCAAATGACGATGTGGTGACGCCTTGGGCAACACGTGGAGGTAGGTTCCTAGAATCTTGTGCGAATGACGAGAATTCGGAATGTGATCATTGGCAAAGGTTTAGATATAATGAATCAGATGAGTCTCTGTCTTCGAAATATAATGAAGGAAATACGTATTGTTATAGCAATCGACTATATTGAAGTTATATAAAGATAAATGAATAATTTATTTTTATTTTTTTTAATGCAATCCAGAATTCAGATGTGAATTCAGCAGAGTGCAACTGAACAGCCAAGTGTTCGAGTTAATGATGTTCATCGGATAATTAATGAAATGGATGACATTATGGAGATTACGCTAGTCTCCTAATGTGACTCACATTCGAAAATGAACACTTTTTCCTTCAATACCACGAGAAAATAGCTAAAGCATAAGCAAATTGGAGTTTTGTATTTGAGCAAGGTTGTAAATTGGGTTCTATAAATTAGATCAAATGCAATGTGATCGAATTTGTCTGTGAATAAATAAATATTTTATCACAATATTCATTAGCAAACGCCATTAGAAAATTACACCATTAAAAGAAAATTCAAATTGAGTTGATTCGATTCACCTGAGTAAAGAAAATTGGTTGTGTAATGGGCTGTTTTTAATGCATGATTCTAGCTTTTATCTTTTATCGATGCACTGACAGTAATAAAATAAAATTTCGAGTCCGTAGGACGAGTCAGTTAGTTTTCCTTTGTCTTCGCTTAGTGCTCCAACATTTGCACTCGATTTGCATCAATTGTCCTTCGGTTTTTATGTATTATCCTTATTCGGTGTGAAAATAAACTAGAATATCAAGGAAGATATATACAAAAAGGAAGACATAAACATTTCGCTTCGCTCCATATAGGAAAATACGACGATCCAAAATGAAGTTTATTCTGGTGCTGTCTTTGTGCATTTGGGCTGTTTTATCTAATCAATTGGCAGATTTCCGAGATAACAATTATGGACCAAACGGTCCAGATAGCCGTGAAGATGGACGTGATGGACCTGATGGACGTGGTGGTCCCGATGGCCTGGATGGACAACATGGTCCTCCAGATAGATCTGACAGACTCGAAAGAATCTATGGCAAAAACAAACCTGAAATTATACCATTATTGCACATCGCGGCCAGAACAGGTAATCCACAAATATTTCACACAACTCATGTTTCTATTTAAAAATTTCTCAAAATTAAAAATTCTTTTTCAATCGATGCAGGAGACGTTGAAAAGGTTAAAAAGTTGCTCATATCAAATGTGACTGATGTGAATAGCAGGGATAAATTGAAAAACACACCACTTCATGATGCGGCTAGACTGGGTAAAACTTCTTCTTTTCGTATTAAGAATATGCCGAAATTTTAAACTTTTTCATTAAATGGCCTTCAAGGCCACTTCGACGTCGTGAAACTTCTCATTGAATGGGGTGCCGACGTAAACGCTGTGAATGCCGAAGAAAAAGAGAGCGTACTTCATTTTGCTGTCTCTAGTGGTAAGTGTTGATGCTGTTTATTTGCAATCAATTTACATTTGAATTGGTTCATCCACTTAGGTTCAATAAAAATTGTTCGATATCTCATTCAACATGGAGCCAGGCTGAATGCTGTGAATCAATTAGGCGACAATGCACTGCATTTCTCTTCGTCCAGAGGTATTTTTTCGGAAATAGATGCGATTTTGAACGTTGAACAACTGTTGTTGATTGTTTTTACTTTCATTACTATACTTTGATATAGTAATGCAAAAAAATGTCGTTCAATTTTAACAAAAAAATGGTATTTCAGGCTACAACAGGATCGTTAATTTTCTTATTTCAAATGGAACCGATGTCAATGCGAAGAATAAACGCGGCGAAACTCCACTTTTCATGGCAACTGAACATGAATACGTAGAAACAATGAAAATTTTGCTCGCAAACGGAGCTGATGTTGACATGCGAGATGATAAGGGCAGAACACCATTGCATATGATTAGCGGTCAAAGTAATTGCACAATAATTTTGTGATGAAACAGATAACGGAGTAATTTGTTTGATTGTTCGGTCTATTAGATGGTGAAGCAGTC